TCTTGAAGACCCCCAGGGTAGGGGAGAGTACTACCTCCCTTGGGAGCCCGTTCCAGACTTTGGCCACTCTAAGTGTGAACAAGTTCTTCCTAATGTCCAGTCTAAATCTGCTCTCTGCTAGCTTGTGGCCATTATTTCTTGTAACCCCCGGGGGACCCTTGGTGAGTAAAACCTCACCAATTCCCTTCTGTGCCCCCGTGATGAATTTATAGGCAGCCACAAGGTCGCCTCTCAACCTTCTCTTGCGGAGAAAATAAAAGTGCAATACCTATTTCATATTAACTCCCCATCTTTACACTCTTCTTCCACATTTAGGATATGGACATGCAGTCAATGCATAATAGCTATTTTTGGCTATCTCCCCACCAAGTCAACCCCCAAATCACCCAAGAGCTTGCATCCTGAATACTTGGGGCACTGCTGTGTGTCTGTGAAGACATTGCCTCCCAGGTTCTCCATTTTAACATTGGCTTGATTTGCATTCCACTTCCTATTTACAAGATAAAATGCGTGACAGGAGTTTGTAGACACCTAGGAACAGCTGGAGAGGAAGCAAAAAAGTATCCCAAAAATGGGAGACACTTTTTTATCTTTCCTCTGTCCTTTAAGAACTGGCAGAAGGCTATTTAGTTGATACCATATTTACAATCTAGAGCAGTATCTGGGGAAGTATAATTCTGCTGTTAAGGTTTTGTCTAAGGAGTAGATTTTATTTGCTTTGAATGCTGGCTGCTGTGAACTAACCTGTTGATCAGGAAGGCCTCGCAAAGTGGGGATGACAAAACAGGCACAAATGGAAATGCAGTGTTCTGAAGCCCTCGGGAGCTCACTGCTGACCCCTGTCCATGAGCATGAAGAAGAGCCAGCCAGAACTGCTTCAAAATTTGGAGAAGAAGAGCCTCATAGGGAGGAACTCTCTGCTTCCTTCTGTTGATAAGCAAGGGGAAAGGACTGAATAGGCCAGACCTCATCTGCATTTCGATCTGTGAGAGTGACAGGGCGTGGGGATTAACATACTATTAAGGGCTGAGTTTGTACATAGCTAAATTCTATTATGTCTGATGGATAAAGAATGGACGGGACTATGGGACCAATGGTCTGACCGCTCATGTAGGTTCCTAGCCGAGATACAGGACCTCCATCTAACTCAGGAGGTGCACAGCTCCACCAGGGGAAATGCCTTGTTGGATCTGGTGCTGGCCACAGGCGACGACCTCATGAGGGGCCTGCGGGTGCTCGACCACCTGGACGACAGCGATCATTGCCTGCTGGAATTCACCATCCAGCGCAAGGTGGCAAAAGCCTGCAGCAAAGCAGCAGCCCTGGACTTCAGGAGGGCAGATTTCAATGAAGTAAGAAGAATAGTTGGGGAAATACTGAGGTCCCGGAGGAGAGGGGAGTTGGGTGTCCAAGAAGAGTGTTCGTTCCTTAAGGAGATGATCCTCCATGCCCAAGAGAGGTAATCCCAACAAGGGTCAAAGGGGACAAGAGGGCACAAAAGCCCCCATGGCACACCAAAGGCATATGAGAACATCTCCTAGCTAAAAGGGAGGCGTACACCCAATGGAAGGGAGGGGCCATCACCAGGGAGGACTATACCTCGGTTACTCGGGGCTTCAGGGGGGTGGTCAAGAGATGTACATGCACATGCCCAAAATTTGGACTCCATAAGCCATGGACAATAAACGGTAAGTAGAAGAGACAAGAGAAGTGGCTAAGGCTAGAATGTACTGAGAGGGGGATGTAGCTTACTAGTAATTTCTAAGCACCCTCCTGAACAGACTCTTACAGAATAGATATTGTTGGCCTATTGATTATGACTTTCCAGAGTTTATTCTATGTCCCACTTGCACTCCAAATAAAGGGAGGGATCTTTGATTGGATTTTGAGCTCTTGGACTCAAGGCTTGCAAGTAGAAAGTATGCTTTGTCATGGGCATCCCGGTGATATAACTTAGTTTTGCATATTTGTGGGTTGGGGGCTCAGGCTGATTTTATATAAGGCTGGTGGGGGAAGTGCACACACACCCAGAAGGAACCCTGAAGTAACTGGCCCCAACCCTCTCTACTGCCAACATCACCTGGCAGAAAGGTTGCACTGGGAAATACTTTTCCAAAAAACATGTAATTAGGCTACTTTACATATGGCCACAGGAAATCATTGAAGCCAATAATTTAGCTAGGTCCAAAAAGGAAGCAGATATTTTTGCAGCTAACAAAACTATCCAGAGCCACACCAACTAATGTCAATGCATTTTTTTGAAAGTGACATTAAATTTTGTATTTTGTGGCTTAAGGCAACCTCTGACTAGTAGCCATCTAGGATGAGATTTAACATGGGGGGACATTACCCTGCACCTGTATACTGTGAGGTTCTAGGCCTTCTTCTACAGCATCTGCTGCTGGCTAATGTCAAAGACAAAATACTGACCTGCATGGACCTAACTGAATAAGGCGGTTTCTCTCTTCCCATGTTCTTGAAACTGGTATCAGAGATGCTTGATGCAACTTTGATTTCCTGCCATTTGCATTATTCATAATGGTTTATGCAATGGTACATCATTGGATTTACATAGTTGTGTAACAGGAAACCTAGTGTATCCACAGGAATATTACTCTGTACAGGTGTAAGATATCATTCTTCTTCTTTCTAGCCTCACGACTTCCATGTGCTGTAACCAGGAAGCAACTTGCAAATGGTGAGACAAATCCAAACATCTGTTAGAAACTATCTGGGACACAGATTATTTGCAAATAGTGTAGAATGGCCCTGATTTTCTCCTGCCTTGCCTAAGTGTACAATGAGTGTTAAAAGCTACCAGTGTCTTCAGATAGCACTAGACTTGCACACACTTTGCATAACTTCAGATGACTGTGCGAAGCATAGAGCAATGGTGAACCGATGCCCGATGTGATGTGCATTTGATCACACACAGAATTACGCCATACCCCACAAGCACTATTTTACTTCGATAGCCATCATTCGTGCATCCACCATTACAGGAAGCAGAGATGACAAGGCCTAGCAGTTATAATCCAGCCCTTATAAATTCCAGACTTGGGAGCTTTGAGGGAATTAAGTTAAAAATGTGAGCAGGCCAGGTTTCCTGTATTTCTTTTCCCAGGGCCGTGCTCCTTATCATTAGCTCTTGGGTCTACTCCAGGAGCTGTAGATTATATTTTATGCAGGAGACTTTTTTTTTTTCAGGCAGGTCCCTCCTCACTCAAAGATATATGTTTTCTCTTTGTATCGTATCCTGAACCTGGCAATGAACAGAACTGCTGCTTCCACAGTCTTGCAGACAAAAGATTTCCTGATCTCAGTGAGGACCTTACATCTGTTTTGTGTAACGGGGCTTAGATCAGGAAACAGAAGGACTCTGTTTCCATCATACAGGATCTCTGGTTGATCTTCAGCCAGCCTCAGGAATCAATCTCTGTCCCTAACATCAGATAAAACTACTAGAAAGGTAGGCTTTCCCTTTGCCTTGCCACAGTGCTCTTCTTATTGGTATTCAGTAATGCCTCTTCACATAAAAGGAGAAGAATGCCTATGAGTTGGGCCAAAGATTGTTTCTTTTACCCACCCACTAGTTGTGCCTGAACCTACTAGGAAACAAAGGACGTGGACATTTCAAGCCCTTCCCAACTCTTCAGAGAGACTTTCCTGATCTGAGGTAATATCTTATCAAAGAATTTGATAGACCTACTCATCTCGCTATAAAACACATACCCTTGCATCACTCCTTCCTGCCTTCTGTCCTTAGTACTCCCATCTTTTCTTTCCAAGCTAACACACTTAACAAGTAGTTTCCTTGAGCTTTTATCCCTTGAGGAGCATAAAGCAGTCTGAGGCTTGTTGGGCAAATGGTCTGGAAAGTTTTTAATGGTGCTTTGCGGTGCCTGGCCCATGAAGAAGTCTATGGGATGGCACTGGAAGGTCAGTCCAGGCATATGTGAGGATGTAGTTGTTCTCTATCAAGACATGTACCTGCAATGCTACACTGGGGGGTGTGCTGGAGCTGGGCTCACCATCCTCACACCAGGAAATGCTCCAGGAGTATCTGCCTTCTAAAAGAGCAGTGGGGATGATGCCCACTGCTGTAACACTTGTGACATGCTCTCCTTTACAGACCAGCTACCTCTACTGGCCAGCAGAGAGGACACGTGGCCACCAGCCCACCTTTGTGGAGCAGCTC